GGGGGGGGGGGACGGACAAAAAAACTCTACAGTGGCAAAATCAAATCAAACCTAAGTACATGGGTCTTTTAAGACTTCTATTCTTATTCCACTGCTGTACATTGCCTTCTTTTTAATTCCCCTACTTCTTAATCATGTATATGCACATGTCTGGACAAGCATACTAAAGATAAATATTTATAAAATAGCACAAGTAGGAAAAATATGTATGTATCTCTAAGGGACAAGTAAAACAGAAAAGTCAGATCTAAATTAGAAGGAGCACAGTGTGGCTCACAGACTAATCCTTCCAGACAAGGCTGTAGGTTTCAAATCCAAATTGAAACTGCCTTTTCTTCATCCGACAGATGCAGCCAGCATCACACAGCAATCTCCCCACACCTCCCTAAAGAAGTTATGCGGCCAAAGCTTGCACTATGCCCCACAATGTTCCCAAATCTCTATCACAGGAATGGCCCCATACCTGAAAGTCCCACCTCTTAAGTCACTTCTTTGGGTTAAGGCGTTGTCTCCAAAAGGTCACTGTTAAATGCATGTTACCTGAAAGGAGAAAGAGGTCTATAAACACACTGCTACAGTGGCTTAACACATCCGATTAATGATGACCTTGGGAATCCGACAGCACAAAGTCTTTAAAATGTATTCTAATTGTTTCTGTGGATTTTTGGACTAATGGAACACGTGAATATCATCCTCTACAACTCTGAGACCAGAAGAACTAGATGGTACCTAGCTACCACACTATCAATTGCTCTGAATGAGACCATATTAGAATGTCCTGCATAGAGTGGGAAAAACAAATTTAATAAAATTAATAAAATATATGTGTATGTGTGTGTGTGTATATACACCTGGTGTGTATATATACCTGTGTGTATATATACCTGAGGATGAGTTCAAACAAAAGACAAGTCCTTTAAGGGAATAATAGCACTAGAAAGGTGCGTACACACACCTTAGAACAGCTAACCATTTGAGACCAAGATTGCAGCATTTACCCAAGGACAAAGTGCTCAACAGTTAAGAAAGGAAGGGAAGCATAGGGAGGAGGTGGGATAGGGGATGTTACAGTGTGAGGATGGCAAAGACATAATACAAAATGAAATTGAAAACTGATTTGCTTTGGAAACGTTTATTCAATTTACAATACAAAGATGTTTTAAAAGGCAAGTTCAACGAGATACTTTTTAATGAAATGGGCAGGCAGGATGAAAGAATGAGTGAAAAAGAAATAATTTACAGCATTGGGGGATGGCAGCATAATGGCCCCGTGGCAAAAATAAAAGAGGATGACCATATAAATATACCCTCTGCCGCTAGAGTTGTCATAAGAGCAACACCTGCAACTTGGATGCTCCTGGGTTTAAGACAGGAATAAGCACTCTCAGGACCTGAATATAGTCATTTCTGAAGAGGAACAAAAAAGCTGAGCTGGCAGCAGTTTTCCAAGGACAGAGTACTGCTAGACTGGAGGACAATGGAGGGAGGTATAGCTTCTGGTCAATGGTCTCTAGTTATGAGGCTAGTTTCTCACTTGGAGAATGCTATAGTTCAATAGTGTGAACCCCTCACTAATTTATATTGACTTAAAGTCAATATTATTTATGGTTACAAAAACCAACATGCCTGCCCACCCACTCCCAGAAGAATGCACTTCAGAGGACAGCCCTGAAGCAAACGAAGAGGGAAGGAGAGAGTGTGGAACACACCCTGGCCCACCAAGCTCAGAAAACGATATTCCTGCTCTGAGCAGCCAATGCAGAGAAGACCATAAGGCCAGCCCCACCATGAGACACAGACATGTCCCTCACTGACCTCATAACATCACAGGGGACAACACTGGAGACAAGAATTGTGCCCAATATGACCCCCTCATACTGGAGCGAAAAACTAAGGCCATGCACCAGAACAGCAAGGGGAGCAAAGCAATGAAGTCCCTGGAGAATACCAAAAATAGACTTTGGGGTCAGGGTGTGGCACCCCATCAGTCTCAACCAGAAAACACTCCTAAAGGTCAACAAACAGACCTGGAACTATTTATAGGCCTTTCTTTTTTTTTTGTTGCTGTCTTGTTTTCTTTTGTTGCTCTGTTTTGCTCGGTCTTGTTTTTATGCTTATTATTGTCTCTGCATGTTTATCTAGTTAAGATAGACAGGATAAACAATCTGGAGGAGAAAACAACAGGACCAACAGTTCTGGTAGGGACATGAGAGAGGGAGAGGAGGAGGAAAGGAAGTGGGTGTTAACAAACCCAGGGACAAGAGAACAAGTGATCTAAAATAGATGGCAAGGCGGGCGTAGGATGCCTGGTGGGGCTTAATCAAGGGCAATGTAGCTGAGAGGAATTATTGAAACCCGAATTAAGGCCAAACATGATAGTGGGGCACAAGGAAAGTAAAAGGAAATAGAAAAGAACTAGGAGGCAAAGGACATTTATAGAGGCTTAAATGTAGGTATGTACAAGTGTAAATATATTTATATATAATGATAGGGAAATAGATCTGTGTGCATATATTTATATGTTAAGTATTAAGGTAGCAGATAGACATTGGGCCTCTACTCAAGTACTCCCTCAACACAACAACACTTTGTTCTAATAACGCAGCATTCTATGTGATGCTCACCTCCCCAAAAACGATTTGCTGAAAACAAAATGGATGCATAAGCAAATGTGATGAAGAAAGCTAATGGTGCCTAGCTATCAAAAGACACAGCTTTGGGGTCTTAAAGGCATGAAGATAAACTAGCAGCCATCTAGCTAAGAAGCAACAAACCTCACATGGAAGCAGCACACCAGCCTGTGTGATCATGAGGTGCCGATGGGATCAGGTATCAGGCATCAAAGACCCAGAACAAAAAAAAATAATATCAATGCGAATGATGGTGAGTGCAGAGTGGAGACTCAAAACCCATCGGTAGGCTATTATTGGACATCCCCTTACCAAAAAGGTCACAAGGAAGAGACCAGCCAGTTAGGGTGCAGTATAGCACCAATGAAATATACAACTTTCCTCTAAGTTTTTTAATGCTTCTTTCCCACCACTATAATGACCTCAATTCTACCTTACAAATCTAGCTAGACCAGAGCATGTACACTGGTACAGATAAGAGCTTGCAACATAGGGACTCCAAGACAGATAAACCCCTCAGGACCAATAATGAGAGTAGAGACACCAGGAGGGGAAGGGAAGGTGGGGGGGGGAGAAAGGGGGAATCGATCACAAGGATCGACATATAACCCCCTCCAAGGGGGATGAACAACAGAAAAGTGGGTGAAGGGTAACAGAGGACAATGTAAAGTATGAAAATAATAATCTATAATTTAGCAAGGGTTCATGAAGGAGGGAGGGCAGAGGATGGAGGGGGGAAATAGGGCTCAAGTAAAAATAAAATACTTTGAATATGATGATGGCAACATATGTACAAATGTGCTTGACACAATGGATGAATGTATGGATTCTGATAAGAGCTGTAAGAGCCCCCAATAAAATAATTTTTTTTAAATCAACATGCCTTTATGTAGTGCTTATTATATAGCCAGAATTTGGCTAGAGGTTATAAATACAGAGAAAAATAACTTATTATATTTTTGTCTTAATTCATATAAAGAAAACCAAACAGCAAACCTCCACGTTGAGGGATGAGGAATGAGAGGAAGCAGGAAAAAAAAAAAAAAAAGAACCAGGTGATTTATCCCTTTTATCCCTGTTAGCAGGAATACAAATTTCTGAAGACAGAATGAATACAACAAAACTCACTTCTAGGCCAAAGTTCCTTGTTAAACTCTGGTTCAAACAGTCTAGAAAGAAAAAAAAATTTATTTGGTCTAATACCAGAATCTTTGTAGTTGCACATATTTATCTTGGTATACTGGAGAATAAGTAACTGGGAGTTACAAAACCTGAGTCACAGTTCTAGGTGTTAGGTAAATTATTTAACTTTTTTAGGTCAGGTGTGTGTGTGTGTGTGTGTCTGTGTCTCAGCAAAAAGAAAACTAAGAGGTTGGATTAGCCCAAGAATAGCAGAGGAGAGAGCTTCAAAAACTTCATGTACAAATAATGGAATTTTCCAATGAAACTTTTGAAGCTCCTGCATATATGTGACATTCCTATCATCATGTAGGTAACTGTGTCCATAGGAGGCATCATTAATCAATTCCCAGATAATCCATATGACCAGAATCTTTCTCAACACAGGATTTCTGGCACCTATTTTCAATCATAGTTGGCCTATGTGCCAAAATATCATTATTACTGTAAATTATTAGATGGTCTCTGAAATATCTTCCAACTCCAAAATTCAAACACCGAGTTTTGATACAGAGGAAGAAAAATATCACTTCCAACCTTAGTTGCTGATAGTCATAAATAAGTCTAAACTCCAAGTCCTCCAAATTCCACCTGTCTTGGTTCTAATTTTTCAAAGATGCTTATAAACAATTTACTCTGATACAATTAGCATACAAGGGGTACCCACCCCCAAAAAAGAGGAAAACAGCTCCACTGGGTGGAGCTTTTGTTGTATGCATTTCCTGCTAGGTGAGCATCAAGGACTCACTCGAGTTAGTGCACCCATTGGTGTCACCTGGGAAGGTTCTGTCTGGTCACAGTGAAATTTTTCATGAAAGCAGTTTCTCTTGAACTGCGTTTTTGTGATGGACGATTTAAAGAACAGTGTGCAGCTGTGAAATTTTGTTTCCTGCTCAGGAAAAATGAGGCAGAAACTGTTGTGATGTTGAACACAACTTACAAGAAGAGTACTACATAAAAAACTCAAGTGTTTGGTTTTCTCGTTTCAAAAAAGGTGAAATGCCGATTGATGACAAATGTTCTGGAGGCTCATCAACTTCCCAAAAGGACAAAAATAGAGTTCATTCCACCTGATCAGACTGTTAATCAAGCTTTCTATTGAGAGATTCTGAAAAGATAACATAAGTGTGCGACAAAAAGGCCTGATTTATGGCAGATGGGAAAATGGTTTTGCCACCACAATATACCTGCTCACACAGCCATTTCAGTGCACCAATTGTTGGCAAAAACAGCATGCCTCTCTTGCCCCACACACCTTACTCATGTGACCTTGCTTTGTGTGACTTCTTTTAGTTTCAGCAAATAAAGGACATGAAAAGAGTGATTTGAAGTAGAAGAGGTATGAAGAAAAAAAACATGGGAGGTGCTATCAGCCATCCAAACAAATGAGTTTGAAAAATGTTTCTAAAAGTGGAATCACAGATTTGACAAAGTGTAATGGAGTACTTTGAAGGTGATGCGGTTGTTTTGTGAAAAAATTTAAATACATAGCTTTGAAAAAATTCCGGTTTAGGGGGGGGGGGGTTAGCCCTTTGTATATAACCACATTCTTCAGACATGATAATAGGTACTTTTGATAGGGGAAAAAAAGGAGTCGTTTATCCAAACATAAAAAAAAAAAAACAGAAAACAATATTGCACTAGTAAGTCATCATCATTTAATCCTTGATCATCTCCACAGCCGCTCTCCAGGGTTAGGCCTGGTTTCTTTTCATCTACTAGCCAAAAGATTGGTGGTACCTCAGAAGACACGCCTGCAACTTGCTTCTAAAAGGTCATAGCCTTGAAAGCCCTATCACTCCCACACAATCCCTGTCATCAAGTCAATACCACTCCTAGCAACACTATACAGGACAGAGTACAGTGTTCCTTTAGCTTCTCCAAAGAAGTGGCTGGTGAGTTTGAACAACTGACCTTGTGGCTAGCAACTCAATGTGTAGCCCACTACACCACCAGAGCTCCCTTGCAAAGAACATTTTACTCTGCACATATACTAGTCACCAAGAGTTGGAATTGACTATCAATGGGAACTAACAAGTTTGTAACAGCCACTCCACCATCTTTTCACTCTTATCTCCAGAACAATCTTTCTCGAACACACGCGCATTCACATCTTTGTAGGCATACAAACCTATACGCATTACTGTCAACATAAAATTCAAATTTCTTAGCATTAGTCAGGGCTTCAAAAAAGTTCATGGAAAAAAATGCTCTTTCAATTCCATTCTCTATAAACTTTTTGAAGGTGCCTTCTACTTAGAACTTTTTATAGTTGCCTCCTTTTACCTCTCTGGCCTAATGTCCCCAAATCCTTTACCTCCTCTGCCTTTTCATGATCTCTGCATTGACACACAGCATGAAAGCATTTCCTCTGCCAACCCTGTCCTCCCCTTTCCCCACTCCTGTGCCACAGGCCAACTTTTCATCTAAAACCCAATTTCTTGTGCAAGGGCAGATTCTACATTATCTGGCCAATCCCCAGGTAGAATTTCCTCCTCTCCGCTCGGAAAAGTTTTCTAAGCAACCTTTGGCATAAGGTATTGAGTCACTGGTTCCTAAGACCTCAGGCATGTTTTAGGAATACATTAAGGGGCCAACCCAGACCTACTAAATCAATCTGAGGAGGTAAGATCCTAGTCTTTGTACTTTTTGAAAAGCTCCTAGTTATCCTAATAGTCAAATGTGAAAACCACTACTTTGTCTGTCTCTCCCAACAAGGGTAATGAAGTGGTTTTGTTATTGTTTTGGTTTTTTGTTTTAAGAATGCAAAAATGGTTTATTCTAGAATATGCTTCATAAGTATCCTGGCTTCATATTTTTTATTTCACAGCATATCCTTGTTGACTGGATTTGTGTGCGTTAGATGAAGAATCCTTTTTGGAGTCATACCCCCATTCAACTGTTCAAAAACAGTTGTTGAATTTCTGGATCTCAAAATGGAAGTTTCCTACCTTGAGTAAAGCTGTGAATACAGGGTACAGACGCTTACTAGAGCTGCCCTGGCCACCTTGTTTCACCGAGGAGGGTGAACGTACATCCCTTGTGCTTAAGATTAAGTTACTCTGTGGCTAGACACAAAGGGAAATGATTTAAGGGCAATGATAAGTGAGGCACTGACTGGCTCGGGCTTCACTAATTTTCAGAGAAAAATCCCACTCTTCCTTTCCCACCCCACCCCCACCACACTATATTGCAGCTGTAGAACGGCAGATTCTGTCACAAGATTAGGAGCCCTAGGGGCCCAGTGGTTGCACGTTGGATCAGCAGTTGAAACCCACCAGTGCTGGGAGGGGGTGGGGGGGGATGTGACCGTCGGTTCCATAAAGATTTAGAGCCTGGGGAACCCTCCGGGGCTATTCTAGGATCCCACAGGCTCTTTGAATTGGCGTCAACTCGTCGGCGATGGGCAGCGGCTGTGCAGCCCGTGGAGACACCGACACAAGCAAGAAAACAAGTTTGCAAATTCACCTCGCTGCAGAGATGACTAACTTTAGGCCCAACGTCGGTCTCCCCCCTCGCCCAGAACCCAGGGTTCCTTCCCTACGTCGCGATCAGGAACCGAGTGGGAAAACTGGAGTTCCCCACCGGGATTCACGTCCCCGTCACGTTTCGACCCTGGGCGACTTTTTCCCTTTTCTCGACTAACGCAAAGGGCATTCTCAGGGAGGAGGACCGGGCCAGCTCCACGTCTGCAAAGTCGGCGCCGGCGGGGCCACGGCGGCGGCGGCCCGGGAGGGGCTCCCGGACCCGGACCACCACGCGGGGGGACAATGGAGGGAGGAAGGGAGGGGACGA